ACAAAGACTGTCGATATAATCTTATTTGTTAAGCTGAGCTGTTTAGGTGCAGTTTTATTTTAACAATTTAAGGTTTATATAATTTACAATTCAGCAAAACGCTATATGTACCACATTTTAAAAAAATTAAAGGTACTTTGTACTTTATGTATTTAAAGATTTTTTTGTCGCAAAATAAAACCCTTTTTTAAAAGGGAGGGTAACCAAACTTCACGCTCAAAAGGTCGAGTTCCATCGTTGTTTTCCGGGATATTAACAGTCAATAATGTCAGGTTTTTGTCGAACATATGCGGCAGCGATTTTTCATTGTCGCCGCAATAAAAGGAGTTTTTCTCTTTCTGTCTATCTTAATATTTTAATTTTACCTGCATTTCACTTTTAATATGCTTAAATGCTGCTGAAGAAAAAAACAATAGCTATATGAAGTGTCACTTTTGACGGTGCGAATAATGATTGATTTTCAGCTTGAGTGGAGATATTGAATGGCCTGAAACAGATTTCCACACTAATTGAAATGCAACGAAGTGCCCGTTTGAATTAAACTTTGTAGCTTCCTGTTTTTGTTTATCGTTTCAGATTTTGGTGTTAATAATAATATAAGCAGGCGAAGACTTGTTTTGCTTCAGAGATTGTTTCCTAATAACAAACACGACACACCCTAATTCCCTGTCCCTACAAAATCTTTCGCACTTTCACCCAGCATCCGACAGATCACGTTGGCGCCTCGGCAAGGATTAAGTCATGCTGCTGTCATGCATAAATTCTGCAAGTTGTGCAACGGGAATGGGAAAGGACACGAGTTGGGTGAGAAATGGCTCTGTGTTTAATACAGTGGGATTTATTAAAAAACTTGAGAATAATGTTAATAAAATGAAGATTAGCCATATATTTTATATTGAAATATTATTCCTATTTTATGGCAGAAAAATCAATCAAGGGAATTTATGTTGTACCAATATTATCAATTGGATAGAGTAGATATGTTAAACTTAAATATAAGCTTCCTTCCCAATTTTAAAACTGTCTTCTTTTTGTATGGGCCCTAATTTGGTATTAGCTGAAATAAATAAAATTTAATGATTCATTTTACTGTATCACACATCTTTCGCATACTCACCGAGCTTAAATTCGAAAATCATTAGCCCAAAAACTTGCCTCAGTCTCTACATCCACATAACCACAACAATAAACTCGTTGGGTTGACACCAAATCACCATCAAATAAGCCAAATATCTTTCTAATTACTTACAAACAAATCCCAAACCGAAACTGAAACCAAAAGCTAAAACTGAGCTAAAGTTACATTGGCAGCAAACACACTAAAGGCATTTGCTAATCTCATGACAAAACCCAAAATCCAACCCTTTCTCAGCTCGTTATACTGCATTTTGCGGCAATGAGATAAACGTTTTAGGCAAATATTACAATAATAATTTTCAACCAGTTTCACAGAGTTTGAGGACAAGGAATTTTAAGCCACACTAAATCAAATTCCCCTTCACTTCTTTGTTGGTATTTTCACTTTTCATTTACAAATTCTTGGTGTTTACACTTTAGCTGCGTTTCATAAATTATAAATTCTCTGAATATGTATCGTGTACATATTTATATAAACAATTGATAAAGTATGTGTACAAAATTCGAAAAGCCGCAAACGAATGTGTAAATGTTTAGTATTTGTACTTGCCTCTAATTTATATGTTTCACATTAAAATGTAGATTTATGTGTTAGCCATGGGTTATGTCCTTCTGCTAATTTTTAGTAATACTTTCTCTTAAAATTGACACTGTAATATTGATACCTATATCTTTTCAAAATAAATGGAACCGAAGAAAATTGACATTAGTTTTCAGTCAAAATTATCACAATGTTAAAAACACTTTAGTTAAGTTTAGCTGAACTATTTATGCAAATATAATTTGAATTTCTATTTTAAACTTTGCATTATATAATACAATTAATGTGATTTTTGAATAATTCATATGGATATGCTTATTTATTGAATGAAGAAGACGCGATTTTAAATGTATGCACAATATTGAATAGCTTATTTGGCCTTTAATATCAGCATGTCATGTTTTCTATTTAATTCTGATTTCAGCATCATTATTCAAATTGCCTTTCTTTGATTTACATTCCGAAAATTCACAAAGCATCAAGCCATACCGCAGACATTTGCGACAATTTAAAATTTTAATACATATTTAATTCGCACATTTATTCACGGTAAAGTTATATGCAAAGGGCAAATTGAAATAACTGTCAGGCATTTCGTGTCAAATTACAATAATAATAAAAACGGAAAAATGAACGAAAACTAACAATGTGAAATTGAATAAAAGTGACCGAAGAAAGGAAGAGCTGAAAAAAACCAAATTAACCGCGAATTACAAATCAATTTAAATGCGGCAAACTTTTTTCCAGAAGCCAAACAATGAAACTTCTCGTTATTCTATTTCCGCGGAAGAAGCGGAAACTTTTAATTCAATTCCTGTCTCAGGCATGTCAATGAGTTTGCCTTTGTGGGTGGAGCCAGTATTCGGGCCTCTTTTGGCCTCTTGAATGCAACATTTTTGGTCGTCAGGAAGAATGGAAATTTGTTTAGTAAATTAAAAGTACTTAAAGTGCAAGTCAAGATCTCAGACTCCCTCTCCTAATATCGTCCTCCACACCACCGCTTCATCTGCACCATTATGTATTCTTTTTTAAAACATGCAAAATCACGTCTATGCATCTTAATAACTTTTCGTGCTCGAGCAAACAATGCGAACGTGAAAGTTGAATAGGTTTGGCTTAGTTATCAGAGGGTTCCCGTCTACGTTTTCGAAGAAGCGAATTTCTGGGGCTGCCGGGAGGTGGTTCACTCTATGGTCTCTCAATGCATAAATCAAATGTACATATTGTAGTTGAACTTAAACTTAATTTAGTTTCTGGGAGTTCCGAACAAGTTTTGTATATTGAGGGTGGGTTAAAATTCAGAGAGGGGGATATGGACAAATTTTAAATGGTAAGGGGTGCTTTGATTTTTGTGGTAGTTATATTGAAAGTCTTCCGATGCGTCCAGAATACAATCCCTTTATTAGAATAAACCTTCAAGCCCAAATATTACTTTTATAAAGAATTTAAATAACAATGGGTAGAGATGTGAGTACACCAATTTCCTGGCAATAAATTGATTACTACTTAAAAGGAAGGCCTTTTATATTAGCTATCTAAGTACATAGTTAAAGATTACGTTTATGGACGTCACAAACGCACCCATGGCGGTATATTTAATCCTCACTCGTCAGAAATTACATTTTTCTTATATATTTAAGTAAGCAACACAAATATGAAAAGTTTCATTATCAACCGTGGTTAGGGATTCAAATCGACTTTCTGACTTTAATTTTATATCGATAACTTAATGCCAACATGATTATTATCGTGCGAATTAATCTAATATAATTAAATAATTGTATTTTTCAATTTCGCAGAAAATAATTACAATAATTACATACATTCTTGAACCTTGGCTTGTTGGGCTTATTAGTCATCTGAGTTCTGGGAAATCCGGCCTTGAAGGACCACATCCTAACCTGCCACTTCTTCAGATCGTCTCGCGGGATCACCGAAAAGTTTTATTTGTTGGTCATTGAGATAGGCGCTTTGTGCACAATAATATTATTAAAGTGAAAGACTATGGACTGCTCCAGCTGGAATCAGTCGCTCTACTTTACTCTAGACCCACCCGCTCCTCGCTCCAGATGTCAATGCCATAACCATAACTTTGTTTAGCGAACACATCCATTCCCATTCCACGCGCACATGAAACAATTGAATCGAAAAGAAACAAATCAGTCAACAGGGCGATTCACCCACGTAACCCACCGAATGCAGCAAAAAACCACCCAAAAAACAAAGTAACAACAATACAAAAATTAATTGATGACGGACACCAACACACACACACACAAATAGCATGCATAGTATACACAGATGACGCACCAACACTAATTGGCAGCAGGAGCAACGTGGGCCATATAGCCAGGAAGTCGATTTGATAACGGTGCAGGATGTGATGGCAGCCCTTTCCCACTTTGGTTATGAAACATCCGGAAGGGAGCCTGTAACGGGACTTTGACAGCGGGTTAGAGGGCGGTGTGAACACGGCCAAATCGATGCAGACATAGACGAGCAACAATCAATCAATTAAATGCCTGACTGCAGCTCCAACAAACCGACGAGCCACAACAACCATGACATGACCCAAAGGATAATGTTCGGCATGCAAAAATGTGAGCCTGCCTTTTAGGCAGCCGGCAACACTATTAAAGATTTATTCATGTTTCTCGACTCATTCCAACTACGCCTTTCTCTGGGATAGTTTGCCAATTTAAGTGACAGCCTGAATTTTAAGAGTTCCCTGGATGACTAATGCAGCAAACGGAATTTTCATGAAGAGGGATTCGGTTGATCAATGAAGAACCATTCATTTTATATTGGCTAGAAAATCAGAAAATCCTTGAAATTGACCAACGAAAGGTAGAACGGTTTTCACTTTTACATCGGTTCATTGGACTAATTTTTAAAAAGGCCAACTAGAGCCAAACATTATAGCAAAATAGTGAATGATACAAGAATCTATCTTTGAATTTATTACAACATAGCTCTCAATTTGGCATTCCGTACGGTAACAACAGTTTGAATATACTAAAACCAGTTAATTTGGTAGAAAAATAAATGTTGTCAATACAAAAGCCTCAAATTAAGCAATAAACGTAAAGTGTGACACGGGTGCTTAACCCTCTTATTGTATTCTTACAACCAATTGCTTTATTAGACTTCTTTGTACTTAACAACACGTCTAGTCAGATGTATTAAGCTTGAACCCAGCACAAATAGACCCATAAATTTTAATCACCTGCTGATTAAAGACTTGTGAAATATTGAGAAAACGTGAACGGTCGGAAAGTCCAAGAAGCCAATCTAATCAATGCCGATAAGGAAACAAAAATAATAGGAGATATTTTAAAAATAATTTATTACGAAATAATTTCGTTTTCAGAATTTTAGCTCATCTATATAAATAGTCTTGTTTTAGGCAAAGATCTTGACCAGCAAGAGACCCAAAACGCTAGCCGCAATTGTGAGTGTGCTGCTGCTCATTTTTCCCGCCGGATTCTTGTTGCACTTATTGCCGGAACAGGTAAGACAGTGGGTTTTATTATAGTGGCCATAAGCAGGCTTCAAGCTCAAACTGCAGGCCCCAACATTGGGATGAATGCAGCCATGGATCTGATTGATCACATTGTTATCTAGTGGGACAAAGATATATAAGTCATATATCTTGATGATTTGTGTGATCCAAACTACTCACTCCAGGTGTACTTAAGAGCCAGGCAGTCGAATCGAGTACTGGTTAGATTCCTAACTCCCTGATGATAAACCTCCAGGTTGTGACTAGTCTCGTTGGCAGCCGCATTAGTACAGGTCACTTTTTTGGGACTCTTGCAGTCATTCGGCGTGGTACAGGTGTAGCACACCAGAGAATCAGCTATTCAATATTATAGATCATCAGTTTAACCCGAAGTTTTAATTTCTGTGGCTATGACTCACCAATTTGCACACAGACAAAGGCTACCAACAAACTGGCTATCAAAGCTTTGACAAACATATTGGATTTTATAATTGTCTTTTCAGTTAGAAAAGTAATACTACGTTCCTAGTCGCCGTTTCGCTTTAAACTAAACTCTGTTGGAAATCAAAGAACTCTTTTATAAAGCGTTTCTCTTAAGTTGTCGTAACTTCTAAATTCTTGGCAGATAAGCACGAGTACTTTCGTTGATTAGATTATCGCAACGTTTATAGACGAGTCAGCTTATCAAAACAGTTTGAATGGGAAATAGAAAGGGTTTCCCCTTAAGGTTTTCATTCAGTTTGTGTATTCTTATTTCTAAAATAGTATTTTTCTGCAAACATATTTTATGTAATTTTGTTCCAATCGAATAAAAGCAAAATTGAGATTATTTCATTTCATGTTTTCAATATTGGAACGTTATTAACTTATATAGTTATTTAAAACTTTTAGTACCTGCCAAATAATGCAAAAAAGTTATGTTCGTCTTAGGTCATGTAGCCAGATGTGTTTTGTATAATAATAAAGGTAAAAATAAACAGTACTTTCAATAAATTTAATTTCTACTTCTATGTATTTTGGATTACATTTAACGGAATTTTTGACAACTTACAAGAATTTTTAAAGAAAGATTGAGATTGTTTTGAATCCAACTTCCTAATCATTTGAGCTTTTACTTTCTTTAAATTCACTTTTTGTGTTATCTGGCATTTTGGGACCTAGCCCACAGTTGAAAATCTTACTCACAGCCTGACAATTTCACACCTCACTTCCCCATCAGTCCCCTCTATACGATCACACTTAATAACTCTTATCTCAGTCCGAACCTAATCAATATGCGCACCTATATGGCAATAAATAGGTAAAACACTTGCGTAAAATTGGTAGCAATCAAAAAGGGGAAGTATTTGGCTAGGTAACTTTATAAGTTGCCAAGCGACTTAAAAAGTATAACTGACTCATATTTTTTTTATTACTTAAATTAATCAACATTTTTTTATTACACATTTATTTCTTACCTATATGGGTTTATAGAAAATTTTAAAAACTATAAAGATTATACCTATAAAAAGGAAGTTATTTCTGAAAGCTTATAAATATTTGAAGTGAATAACGATAAAGTAAGCAATAAAATTTTAAGTAAACAATGTGGGTAAAAAACAGTGAATCACGTAAAAGTATTAAAAAACATTTAACCAAAATAGTCATGGAATATTCCGTAGGTGATTAATTTTTATGTTATTGATTTTCAAGATAATTTCAAAGACCAAAATTATATATTTGATTTCAGCAACGAGTCTTTGTCCTATTGATTGAAACTTTTCTGCTACGTAGATTACAAAATATCTCCGATAAACCCTTTATAGATTTTACATGATTAAACTCACTCTTTATTCTTGCCTTCTTTATAACAAAGACCATTATTGTTAACCATTTTAGTTTTATAATAAAATTTTGTTTTAATTAGCCATATCGAAAATAAATATTATACAATTGGAATTAAGTGTAAGTAATGCATTTGCTTCCCAATAAAATCATGGGTCTAGCTGAGGACCTTGGCCAGGAGCACGGCGATCACCGATCCTACGATGGTATAGGCACTTCCGCTGAAAGTTCCCGCAGGATTGCAGTAATCTGTGCCGCATTGAAGGCATTTCTTGGACCATCCACTCGCGGTGTTTGTCAAAGTAAGATCGCACACCTTAGTCTCATTGAAGACGCAGCCCAGGAACTCAGACGTGTGGGAGTAGTCTGGAGGAAAGTTATACAACATGGTTAGATAACCCCCTCTAAATCAGAAAAATCATTTAAATACATACTTGCTGCATGGTAGTAGGTGAGATTGGCACAAGCGAAGTTCAGACTGCCATTGACGGTGGGCACATTACTGTGGTACGATTCCAAATGAACCCTATTGGCATTTGCCGTAGAATTCGAGCAGGTTTCCGACGAAGGACTTTTGCATCCGGAGGGGGTGGTGCATTTGGTGCAGGTCAGCGAGTTGGCTAATAGTTAGAAGCATTCTGTTAACAAGGATTCCTTTTTGAAATTACCAATTTTTCTCACCAAACTGCACGCCCACAAAGGCCACAAGGACCACACAGATAAGCACTTTCTTCCACATTTCGATTGAGGGATAGTATTTATTTACTTAAAAACACAACTCTGCACAAAGCTGTCTAAAGCGAAACTGATTCGAATGCAGCCCATTCCTGCTCAATATGTAGTCCAGAATTGAACCATAATAAAAGCGGATTTTATGCCGGCTATAAAGATTAGATTCTGTTATCAATATGCTTCAACCCACATTGAGTCAGGGCAACAGTCATCAATTCGGGGACTTTTGTTGGTGGAGTGCATTTCTAGTTTGGTATATTTGTACTCGGAACACATTGGGGATACTTCTTATCAATAAAATTTCTAAACGATAACTCAAACAGAAAACGGCAGAAAGTTGATTTTATAACTTTTTCCACATCCGCTTATAAAGAGTGACGGCATAATAGGCGAATAGCCAATCGAATGACAAATACATGCATACATACTAAAATATTAATATTGATGTTTAACCTTCTCAATGTAATCGGGCTAACAATATCAGTAGATATCGTAGATAAAAGTAAATAAATCAACTACGACATAGCCACAACATGTTAGGATTACTTCCCATAAGTATATAAGAATATTAGTTTTAGTGCTATTGATTTATTTATATAGGCAATTCGTGACCCACTTTGAGTCAGACTTATTACTTTATGATATTTCAAAATAGTAAAGAAAATACCCAAATTAAATTGATATGAATTGATAGTGATGGCCTCATATAATACCTTTTCGTTTTTAATATAGATAAGATAGTGCTTGAATGGCATATATCTAAAATATTTAACTTAAAATAAAAGAGTGAAAAGTAACCATACAATGTGATTACAGATATTGATATTTATATTACAAATGGGTTTTCTACATTTTGGTTTGATTTCCGTTGGACTTTTATTTTTAATAAAATAATGATATTAATTTATTATGATATTAAATAATATACAAATTGTAACTTCAACTACAACTTCAATTTAAGTATTTGCTTAAATTAAAGATACCCAAATGTGTAGAAGACACGTAGCTTGGCAAATAAACCTAGATAAAACCCAAAAAAAATGTTTTCATTTTATTTATTTGTTTTTTTTTTTTGTTAAAACAAGGAATAATTTCAACAAAATTAGAAGAGGTCTTGCCGTAGGTGGAATTGAAAATCATACATCACAATCGTGGCCATTGCCCAGGACATGCCACGAATAGCTAAACAGCTACAACAACAGGAATGCTAAGCCGCTGTCAAGGATGCGTAGGGGAATATTACAAATGACAGGACAAATGACTGAGTGCATTGAGGAGAAGCAAGGAGAAGGTCGAGAGCACTCCAATCTGGTTACAAGAAAACAAGGGATCGCCTGCGGTCGAGATTTAACAAGAGAGAACGCTATAGTCGGGTGCCCCGACTATCAGATACCCGTTACTCAGGTAAAGGGAGTGCGAGGGAGATGGAGATAGAAACTTTGATCACGCATAACTTTTTAACGAATGGTCCGATTTGAAAAACATCTTCTACATTTCGATAGGTATTGATAAACACAATAAAACTGCATTTTTACTTTTCCGAAATATTTAAATTTTTAAAATCGTATATAAGCGATTATGGGCGTTAAAGGGGGCGTGGCACCATTTTGAAACAAACTTGCGCTGCGTAGGAACTTCTAAAATCTACATGCAAAATGCCAATCTTCTAGCTTTTATAGTTTCCGAGATCTCAGCGTTCATACGGACAGACAGACAGACGGACAGACAGACGGACAGACGGACAGACGGACAGACGGACATGGCTATATCGACTCGGCTAGTGACCCTGATCAAGAATATATATACTTTATAGGGTCGGAAACGCTTCCTTCTAGCTGTTACATACTTTTGCACGAATACAATATACCCTTTTACTCTACGAGTAACGGGTATAAAAAGTACGTGTATCCGAGTGTCCAAACAGGTAAACAACAGAATTACAATATGCTTTCTTAAAAATTAAAAACGAAAAAAAAAACAGGAGTAAACAAGCAGCAGCGGGCTTTTTCTGACAGGACAATAAGCAAGGATAAGCATCGAAATGATGATGATGATGGCGGTGGGGATGGAGGGGGGTTGAAAGTGGCTAAGAGCTGGCAAAGAAAATACAAGCACAAACATAGATACAGATATGCGACAGGCGACAACGATAGCAAAAGTCGACGAGTCTGACAGATACATTTTAGTCCTGTTGCGGCTCCTGTTTGTCTACTTTTTCCGCTTTTTGTTCCTGCCCTTTTTGTTCCGCTTCTCGCAGGTCCTGGCCACATTTCCGCATGCACATTGCACTCGTATTCCGGTCACGTATCCTTTTTAATCCTGACAAGAATATTATTTCCATAAAAAACACACACACTCACAGGAATTGCGAGTTGTGGCAGCATCCCGGCAGATCAAGCATACGCCGCGTAGGCCACCTAACTGAGTCATAGACAAGTCGCAACGGTCCTAGACCAGATGTATTTAATCTTTCGAATATATATTTCTGTACAACTCCAGGCAGGACGGCAGTGCAGAATATAAACAAATTTAAATAAATAGAAAGGAAAATTCATTCCTAAACAAATAAGAAAAGTATCTCTAAGAAACTAAAATTGAGACTAGAGATTTCATAAATGAAAATAGGTTTTAGGAATGTACTAACGATTGCAATAAGTTTAATTTTTTTTAAATGTATTTAAGCATTTTTGTAGCAAAGCAATGTTAGTAATAAAAAATAAATTGATAATTTCCTTTAAAACAAGTGCAGTGAAATATGAAACTAATTTAAAAAAAGTTTCAGTTTCAGAATTGTTATTGAATTATGTATTTTTGTATTGCGAAATAAGGATTAAATAGATCTTTTTGGTCTCGACCATATTTGTTGTTCACATAACAAATTACAAAAGCTGCAAAATAATTTATAACAATCGATTGTTGTTGGGCCATCTGGACGCACACAAACACACACACACACTCGATTTCGGACTGGCTAAGAGAACAACAATGTGGACTACAATGCAAACAAATCGACAAACTATAATAATAAGACAGTCCCCTGGCATGCCAGCAGATAAAATTAGGGAACGAGGAGGTCCTCGGGAAATGGGCGGGGAATATGGAGCCCGACTCATTGCATTGTCTGCAGCAGCTGCAAAAACTTTCAACATCAATGAAAGGAAACAAACAAATTTTACATTTTCTATGTCTCGGTGGCTCCAATGAACAACAAAAAAAAGGGAAGCGAAAAAATAAAAACAAGACAAAGGGGGGAAAGGGGGGATTCAGAAAGAAAAACAATAACAAAAGCAGCTTAAGTACTGCCACAAGTCGTTAGTGGAGGTCGCCAATCCTGAAGAGGGCCCGAGGAACTTTAAAGGATAAACAGAAGGAACCTAATTGCATCTTGGAGAATAAAATGTCTAGGTATAATTCGTAGATTATGAAAATAAAAAAAAATGGAACATTAAAATTGAATACAAATCTGTCTGGAGCTAGATAATTTAAAAAATTTGTTCTGTTTTCTTAAAGAATGGATTTATATTCTCTGAGTTTTAACGACTTTGGTAACTTCTAAAAAATAATAAATAAATTCCAATGAAGTGGAAAACCTTAATACACTTATGTAGTATTTCGACGAAATTAAAGATACTGTATTTATTGCAAGACGAAATTGATTTATGTATGCAAATGTTTTTAAATAAATCATAAAGCACTAGTGACCATCAAACTTATAGTGATATTAATTGAAGCTAGAAAATTCAAATATTGTTTTCTGTGTTCTTAATAAAAGGATTTATCTTCTTTATGAGGTATTAAATGTTTTTATTTTTTCTTACAAATAGCAGTGCCTTGTAAATTCTACAAAAAATAAATCAATTCTAATAAATGTGACCAACCTAAACATATGTAAGTAATATTTTGACAAAACTAAGAAGACAATCTGTATAGCAAATCAAAATTTCTTAATGTATGGAAATCATTCTTAATTCACAATAATTTTAATAGCAACACCTTTAACAGGTCGATAATTTTTGGAAAAAAATATTATTATTATATTATTAATATTATTATTGTTAGCGTATAGTAAAATAAAATAAATAATGCAATAATCGAATAGAACAATTATAGAAGAGGCAAAATATGGTTTCCAGTAGTGTTTATTTTGTGTTTAAAGTCACGCTAGGTGATTCCTATTGAACAGTAAATACCCCTAAAAGTATGCTTCGCAGTGACCCACTTGAGTTCATTTGAAAGTTGAAAATTGCCACGCCAAGTTTACCTTGTAACCCATCTCTCGACATAACCGTTCAATTTGCAGTTCATGTCTTGGCTTCGTGCCTTTTACCCCTTTTTTGTGCAGCTCCTGCTCCTTGCTGTTAACAAGTTCACGTGCAAAATTGCAATGACCCGAAGGACACAACGGGTGATTTGCCGCCCGGCACTCCCCCTTTAGCACCTGTGGTCGTCCTGCTAACTGCTTTGACAACCGTAGACGGTGAAAGGCAACCGAAAACGTCAACGGAAAAGCCAGAAGAAAGACAACAATGGGAAACACTCGCAGCAATTTGCAGCATTTAATCAACAATTAGTGAGTGCTGGAAAATGGAAAATGGCTGGGAAAACTAGAAGACAACTAGAAAAACAAGAGACCGTCCACACGGTAAACTGCAATCGAAGATGAAAAACACCAAGAGGGAGCACTCGAAATGGAAACTTCTGCCACTCGCACTCGCCCCAATCAATTCACTTTACCTATGCCAACTTTGTAATTTTTTTTCCTTCCTGTGAACTTTTATTTGCCTTTGGGCCAATCATTAAGTAAATTTGCTCTTTCCCTATGCCTGTCTGCAGTTATTGATATGACTTGGTCAGCCCTCCACAAAACCCTTTATACCCTTTTCCTTCCAGACTGTGACAATATTTGTACTCAAGGTTTTTCTGGGTCAATTGCTTCGGTTGGATATGATAAATGGATAAATGGAGCTGCAGCTGCTGCAATGATAGTCTCGGAAATTCCTTGATTGAATTGGTTAAGAATTGCTTATACTGAAAGTTTAATTGTTTTCTTGTTTTTATACTATTTTGAATAAATGCCTTAGAAAAGCGTTTAAAAATTCTTTCTATTACAAGCCATTTGAGTTTTCTGCTTTCTGAGTTACAAATTACACTTCACACTTTAAAGGGTCGTTGTTTATTTGTCGTTTATTTTAATCTATTTTGAATTAGAATTTGATAATCAATTGGTCTCAAATGTTACTAGTAGAGGCAATCCAATCGCGAACCGCAGCGACCCTTGAGTATACTCCGGGATAGTTTGGCCTGGCACATCCGTAGCCCCAGGAGACGACGCCCCACAGGATGCCGTCGGCGGCCAGAGGACCTCCCGAGTCACCCTGGCAGGCGTCCTTGCCTCCCTCCGGCAATCCGGCGCAGATCATGCGATCCGTGATGCTCCCAAAGTTGCCATACGCCTCCGTGCACTGCGTCTGGCTGACTTTGGGCACAGTTACGGCCCGGAGAATGGCTGTGGATTCTTGGTTGCTCTGCGTGTTCCCCCAGCCGGAAACCAGGACGGGAGTTCCATCGGCTATGTCCGCATCCTGTTCGGGAAGACCTACGAAAGCCTGCGTCACGTTCGCGGCACTATATTCCTCCAGCTCGAGGAGCGAGAAATCAAAGTCGATGGTGTAGGCATCGAATTTGGGATGCCGATGGACCCGTTTGATCCCCACCAGCTGACCGCCTTCGGAAGTGCGCGACGATCCAATGCGGACCTTGGAGATGAGTATGGCCGATCCTTCGGTGCAGTGGGCTGCTGTGAGGACCCAACCCTGGGCGATCAGAGAGCCACCGCAGAAGTGGTAGCCACGCTGCAGGGAAACCTGGTAGGGAATGTCCTTTATACTGGTCACCTGCCCGCCCACAATGCGTCCATCCAGTCGTGGTCGCCTCGCTGTGCCCGCGAGACTCAGATTCACCAAGAGAATCGCACCGAGAAGCAGCTGAAGAATCGTTCGCGCCATGACTTCAACTCCGATGATCGATCGCTTGTACTGCAGGTGCAGCCCGATCCGTCTTTATATAGAGTCCACCAATCAATCAAACCGACTATCAATTGCGCATTCAGGGTCAACTCCTGCTCTCTCGCCTCACCTCGCTCTGTCCACTTGGCCTAGTTTGATGAGCAGGCACTCACTCGGCAATAAAATTTATTGCCTCCAAATAAACGATGTTATCTAAGAGGGCTAATCGCCCAATAGCCTTAGTCTAGTGCACTATTTTACAGCTTAAGCCAGGTCAGAAACTTGTTGTTCGACGGCATCTCCACTAGTTTCTCCAGCTGCAGTCCATTGTCAGCCGCCAGGACCTTCAGATCCTTGATGTCACGCACGCCCCAGGAGGCGTCTCTCTGCCGGAGACTCCGGTCGAAGTCGACATTGCTCTGGGGAACTAGGAGACCGTCCTGGGCGTAGGGTCCATAGGTGAACATCCTACCACCTTTCTTCAGCAGCTGCCCGGCAGCCCGAAAGAGTCCTATGGAGCAGGCCCACGGACTGATGTGCATCATGTTGGAGTTGAACATGTAGTCGTAGCTGGCCGGTGCGGGGGGACTCTCCCAGTCCCTCGGATCCCGGGTGACGTCCACATGAAGAGGAGCTCGGATATTCCCGGTTGCGCACTCCTCCGCATAGGCTGATATCGATCCAAACTGACCCCGTTCGTACTCCGTCGGGTGGAAGGTGATGTTGGGCAGCAGGGGCGCCAGAAATCCCGCATGTTGACCTGATCCCGAGGCAATCTCCAGCAATTGCAAGTTCTGTGTGCTCCGGTCAATTTGCGAGAGGAGCGCCTCCGAAATCGGTTGCGAATTGCGATCCGCCGAGGGATGCGATCTCTTGGCGAAACTGCAACGAGGAAAAATGTGCAGGAGTCGTTTTGTGAGGCTGTGTTTAGGTTGTCACAAAATGTAAATGGAGTATCAGTTCAGATAAGCAGATTGTTTACCTCATTTTACTTGAAAAAGGATGTAAACAAAAGCCGGCTTCAATTATGGGCAGCCCTGGTCGAATCTAGGGATGGGCATTATTGCCAAACCCGTTATTGCTACTTAAATATTTTTTAGGCACACAGTGAAACAGTCACGGGTTAATAAAACAACATAATTTAATTACGCTGTTGTTTGTACTCTTTCAAATTTTTTATCCGATTTTGAATCGTACAAGCAAGTAGCTAAAGATGCGATTTATGCAAAAATATTTTGTAATGTTTTAAAAGTTTAGTATTATTGAACCATATATTTAATCACCAACAAATTAACAACGTGTTCATACTTAAAGAATTTAATTTCCATATATTCTCAAGTATTATCTCCACCAAATTATCGTGTAATTTTTTCATACTACAGTTTTAGTCACTCTTTTCTTTGCGCATCCCTATCCGTTAACAAATCTATAGGGAACAGCTGTTGACCACATTTCTAAGCATTTTTTCGCCAACCTCGGAACGGTCATATTTTTTCTTGCTTTGTGTTTTCCTGAAAAAATTATTGTTGATTAGCATTTATTTGCTGGTAAAGTGTAATTTTCAAAGCCAAAGCCACAAAATGTCCGACAACGATGACGATTTTATGTGCGACGACGATGAGGATTATGGATTGGTAAAAAACAGTGCACCTTAGCACATCTTAATACATGCAAATGAGACCGGCTTTTGTTGATTTCCATCTTTTGTAAACTGCATAGGAATACTCGGAGGATAGCAACTCAGAACCGGATGTGGATCTGGAGAATCAGTACTACAACAGCAAGGCCTTAAAAGAGGAGGAGCCCAAGGCGGCGTTGGCCAGTTTCCAGAAGGTTCTCGACCTGGAAAATGGCGAGAAAGGAGAGTGGGGATTCAAGGCGCTCAAGCAAATGATCAAGATAAACTTTAGACTGGTGAGGGAGTACGAAATCGGTTAATATATATCTTTAGCTAATGTTTTATCCCCATAGTGCAACTACGATGAGATGATGGTGCGTTACAAGCAGCTGCTCACCTACATCAAAAGCGCGGTGACCAGGAATCATTCGGAAAAGAGCATCAATTCGATCCTGGACTACATCTCCACATCGAAGAATGTGAGCATATCAAACCATTGTACTCTTTAGGAAGTATTATTTCTATTATTTACCTGTGAGGATCCATATTCAATAACTATGAAATTATAACACCGCAGCATTTGATGAAAGCCAAATAACCGCCTTAAGTACTTCTGTTATTCTTAATATGTTATTCATCGACCAGGATTCTTAGAAATAATTTTTTTTAAGTTTGTTAACCTAAATTACATACTTACTTAATCTATTAACCCATTTCCAGATGGCCCTGCTGCAGAACTTCTACGAGACCACTTTGGACGCCCTGCGAGATGCCAAAAACGATCGTTTGTGGTTCAAGACTAACACCAAGCTGGGCAAACTATACTTTGACCGTAGCGATTTCACCAAGCTGCAGAAGATACTCAAGCAATTGCATCAAAGCTGCCAGACAGACGATGGCGAGGACGACCTCAAGAAGGGCACACAGCTCCTGGAAATCTATGCCCTGGAGATTCAGATGTACACGGTGCAGAAAAATAACAAGAAGCTTAAGGCCCTCTATGAACAGTCGCTTCACATCAAGTCGGCCATTCCACATCCCCTTATTATGGGAGTGATTCGTGAGTGTGGAGGTAAAATGCATCTGCGAGAGGGCGAGTTTGAAAAGGCGCACACGGACTTCTTTGAGGCGTTCAAAAACTACGATGAAAGCGGATCACCACGGAGAACCACTTGCTTAAAGTACTTGGTATTGGCTAACATGTAGGTGAAACTGGAAAACCCATAAACCCTTTGCTTTATTAATTGTCCACCTTAATTACAGGCTGATGAAATCCGGCATTAATCCTTTTGATTCACAGGAAGCCAAGCCGTATAAGAACGATCCTGAAATCCTAGCCATGACAAATCTGGTAAACTCGTATCAAAACAATGACATTAATGAGTTTGAGACCATTTTGAGGCAGCACCGAAGCAACATTATGGCCGATCAATTTATAAGGGAACATATTGAAGACTTGTTGAGGAACATTCGCACCCAGGTGCTCATTAAATTGATCAGGCCGTATAAGAACATTGCTATACCCTTTATAGCCAACGCACTAAACATAGAGCCCGCTGAAGTAGAAAGCCTGCTGGTCTCCTGCATTTTAGATGAGTGAGTTATAAAGTTTAATGGTTCTGAGAATTTGACTAACGTTTATTGTTTCGACAGCACCATCAAAGGACGCATCGATCAAGTTAATCAGGTGCTCCAGCTAGACAAGATCAACAGCAGCGCCTCGCGATACAATGCTCTGGAGAAATGGTCCAACCAAATCCAATCGTTGCAGTTCGCCGTGGTCCAGAAAATGGCCTAAGTACATCTAAAGTCCTATATTACATTGAAACCGATTAAAATTGATAGAATTTAAATTAAACAGTAAGAGAAGATTGCTTTTGAGTCGGTGCTAAGGCTGGTGTTTCGTCCTGCTTTTTTCCACAGCAGTTATACATCGATATCCGCAATCGGTAAATTCCAAAAGCCACGAAGGAGAAGCAGCAGATAAGGAACAAACTAGCGCAGACAAATCCAATCGCCAGGCCAGGACGTGCCCAGTCCAGAGCGAAGTAGATAAAACGGTTTCCGTCCCTGAAAAGTAATTTTAAATTCTACCGTTGGATACAATTGTTTAGCTTTACTCACATGTCAGTTCCACCGGCCCAATAGTAAATCAAGGAATGTACCAAGAAGATAAGCACAACGGAAAAGGGATATATAAAGTGCATGAGGCGGTTGGGATAAGCCACCATAAAGCAGTCGAAAACCATACAGATCGAGTTAAAGGCATGACACCATAAGTTGTAGAGTTCACCCGCTATTTCCGGCATGGCTAAAGGAGATAAAAAGGTAATTAAGTATAGAGTATAACGATTTTAGAGCCCTACTTACTGTTCGAAAGCGCAGCCCAAAAGACCGTGGTAATTAACATGGATAGCACTGAAGTGGTATAGTGTGAGATCCAGTAAATCTTTAGAGACCGATCGCCAGCAGCTAAAAGTTATTTAGTACATAAAGTTCTCTTAAGCTCAGAAAAACAAACATTCCTAATCCAAATTAAATACTTACAAAAATAAGATGGATTAAAGTAGTAAATAGTGGCGATTACTGCTCCGTAGGTGCAGGTAAATAAGCACAGTGTAAATCCCCAGTCCGTAAGGAATATGAACCATCGCCCGCCATTAAAATCTTGCATCATACTGCCAATAACTCCAGCCGCAAAGAAAGCCGCCAAAATCCATCGATACAGGACCCAGATTAGATTCCGCTCTCCTTTCTGCCATTGCGAGCGGCAGAACACTCCAGGATCCTCGTGATGCAGCGAGAACTTGGAGCGCTGGAACTCCTCCTTTAAAGGCAGACAGCAGGACTCTTTGTTTTTATCATCCATTTCTGGGACTTGCATAGACTCCAATCGGACAAAAGTGTTCCAAGCAAGTTATTGCTATGAAGGTAAACCACACACTGATTGAGACACAGGTGTTCGACATTCTAAATAGGGGGCCATATTTCCCGCACATAGTTTTAGCTTGAGTAAAGGTAATCGTATGATACACACCAAAATGATTACCACGATCCTTATCATCCCAGTGAGTACCTTTTATGTCTGATTCGGCAGCAGTACACGCCCCCGATAAGACCCCCAACGTGGACAATGTCGTCTAAATCGAACTTCGAGACCAGGAACACACCATTAATCTTCCATCTGGCGCAGCCGCAGAAGCAGATATTGGAATTCGTAAACTCATATTCGGGATTTTCCATGTATGCAAGTGGGACATAAAACAATTGACCAAATATTCCTCAAGTGTCGTATGATTTTACTATGTAGTAAAACTTTTAAACAGCAGTACGTATTATAGACTTGATCTATCCCCAGCCGCGAGTCACGAAAAACCTTATCAGCCTCCATTTTTAAGATAAAGAATATAAGTTCAATACTAATACTTAGATGGACACTATCAAACTGTCTATCAAATCATTCCAACTATGAAATTTTTTTAAAATTTCGTTATCGCTATTATTGCCGACACGCCAAACACTATCACAGATGTATAAAGGTTCAATAGCACCTTTAGAATTAGATTATCTTAGTATATAATATATCAATGTAAACAGGAAATATTCATTATAAATATTGAGCTTGTTTCTATACAGCCAAAACAAATTTCACTTATTAAGTTGGGTAAAATATTCTGATTAAAAATTAGCATGCTTCTGAAGAAACCGTGAATTATTATTTTAAGGATGATTAATAACAAAAAATTTAACCTTGATTTTTTGTTGATCCCAATTAAATACAATCCTTTTTAATTAAACCAATTTTTATTGAATTTTGTTGTTTAAATGTTAAAATTGATCTATACAATTTCAATATGAATTGTAAAAAAACATTTTAAATTGAGCTTTAAAGAATTAAAGTACACTTCTATTTAATATTTCGTTCAACTACTGCAAAAAAAATATTTTTTGCTGGAAATAAATTCTAGTTCTTTGATCTTGATAGGGTGGTTAAATCGTATCTTAAAATTCACCATTTAATTTTTTGGAGTCCCACGAAAACTGACAGATTTTAAATCAAACTGTTGGAGCTGGTTCTTTGGGAGGAGGAGAGGTAGCTGGAATTTCCTCAGGTTTTTTGCTACAGCACTCATACAATGAGATACGTAATCTGTAGAGTCCAAAGACTAGGACACAGAAGCAACTGACCAGGACCACACTTCCACAAACAGTTCCGATGGCCAGACCAGGTCGCTCCCAGTCCAAGATGAAGTAGATAAATCGATTTCCCATTCTGTAAAAAATTTAATAGAAATTAAATAATGTCATACATTTTATAGCATTAAACTTACGGATCCGAGCCGCCAGTCCAGAAGTAAATCAATGAGAATATACCATAGGTGATGCCAGCGGTGAAGGGATAAACGAAGTGCATGATACGTGTTGGAAAAGCAACCATAAAACAGTCAAAGACCATGCAAATCGAGTTAAAAGCGTGCGCCCACAAATTGTACAGCTCTGCGCCCATTCCCGGCATAGCTATCAAAGAAATTTGATTAAATATATATATATTTTGATTACTTATTAGCACAACTCACATGGATAAAGAGCTGCCCAGAACACCAATGTAATCAGCAAGGCCAGTACTACAGTTGTATAGTGGGAAATCCAGTAGATCTTCAAAGCCCAACTTCCAGGAGCTACAATTTGTTAATGGTATAGAAAAAGTTTTACTCTTTATTGATATTTCATAATGGTTTTGTATTTGTATTATATTATAGATAATAATAATGAAACCATGATTCAGTCACCACGAATGAAAAATAGAACTGGGATCTATGTCGTTGGAAAAATTTCTTAATGTTCAATATCGTTTCCTTCATTACTCACCAAAGTAGGAGGGCTTTATGAAGTAAATGGTGGCGATTACAGCGCCATAAGCGCAGCAATAAAAGCACAGGGAAAATCCCCAATCCGTGAGGTAAATGAACCAACGACCACCATTGAAGGAATCCACCATGCCGCCGATGACACCGCCGGCGAAGAAACCAGCCAGGATCCATCGGTAGAGGAGCCAGATCAAGTTGCGATCCCCCTTTTGCCATTGCGAGCGACAGAAGGCTCCAGGATCATCGTGGTGCAGGGAGAACTTGGAGCGCTGGAACTCCTCCTTCAAGGGCAGACAACAGGGCTCCTGGCTCTTGTCACGCATGTCGATGGCTGGGTGAACTCGTCGTCGGTTCCGCTGGACTAGGAGGGCCAAAAGAGTCCAGAGCAGGCAACTGACTTGCCGGTAGATCGCAGACTGACGGAACCATGCGACACAGGTGTCAAATACTCTGAATGGATGGCCATATTTTCCGCAAATCGTTTCGGCTGGAATCGGGGTAATCGACTGTGATAGGAACCGCTCCGGTTATCTGAATTCTTATCACCTCAACAAGAACTGTTTATGCCTAATTCACAGACACAGCGCACGCCTTCGATAAAGCCAACAACTTGGACAAGTGGACGCGGACAAGTGCGTTTGGAGCCATAGACTGATTTGAACCTAAGCATGAGTCCGTGGCTGGAATATTTCCCACACAATATACGGGTGGAGACCAATCGATGGCCCTGAATTTTTAAACATTTTTGGGAATTTTCGCATATGCAAGTTGGGTCATAAACGTGTTGATAACCACTCGTGTCCCTCAAGTTCTGCCGGGTTTTCCTCCGTGACAAGCCAAGTGCCTTCAGACCAATTCCCCCAAGACTCAGACACGATAAGATCGCGCCGAAAAAAACAATTCAAAGGAAAGTAAACTTTGATTGAAAGCCTTTAAATACTCTTGCTAATTCCATTGAACACGAGGTGTTCCCAATCGTATTTTTTTCTTTATATTGATGTTCAAATATGTTTTGGAGTCGTACACTAAATTAAAACATAATTTTTTCATAGAATGTGTTTTTAAACTATTTTTGAAATCTTAAACATCGCTCTGGTATTGTGGAGCGATTAGATTTAAACATATTTCTTCTTGCTGCTTGTGAATATTCAATTGAAATATTTATTTATAAACATTTATTGTAGAAATTAATAAAAATTTGTCTGTTATTTTAAAACATTAATTTGGCTTATCTCGGTTAGAGGCGTTTATTGAATTAGATTGTAACCTGGCACTCTGATAATCCACTTAGATTTACTTAAAGTTAGATTGTAAATTACTTCTATTAAAAGTTTAATTTTTATTATCTTATCCGATTTTCCTAACTTCTTTAATGAATATGACAACCATATTATAGGGTATACGAAAAATTTCTGCCAGACTCATTTAGCTAATTTATCAATTTGGCTATTATGATATGTTCAATGTGCGGAAAAGGTGATTGACGTTGTTTCCCTTTCTGATAATTGGCGATACATATGTATGTACATTGAACTATAAATTTGTGGACTCTAAGCAAATATTAGGCAAAGCTTTCGGGAATATCTACATTGTTGGAAAAAAGCGTATTTCATGACGTATACTTTTTAACTTGACTTCCATCCTATGAATCACGGACTCTCTGATTAGAAAATAGTAAAGCAAAAAAATGTTGGTACTATAATAAAGCGATTTGTTTAAACAGGGTGTTTTTAAAGACGTTTCTCGCAGAGAAAAATTATGGATCTTTTTTATTTTTTGTTAATTATTTTGGTTATATCAGCAAAAGTAAAAAAGTTTAAGACTATTTCTATGTATGTTTACTAAGGGCTCTTAATTAAACCAAATTATTTGAACGTAAAACCACAAGAAAAATGTTATATGCCAAACCCATTTTAAGTGTAATAACAGGATTACTCACTTTTTCACTGCTCGTCCAATGTAGAATGCTTTCAAGTTTTTGAGGCTTTGAAGCATTAAAAAAATATAAATTCGGGGAGATTTTATTTGCACTACCGGTTTTAAAATACAAACGCACATCCCAGAAGAAGACTACACAAAATAAAATACTAAAACTAATTTCTTCTTACATAACTACCCTTGATCTCTTTATGAAAACTCATCCAAATAATTTGCCCCAAAAGTTGGCTTTGACATTTTTTTTTTTTGGGTTACATTCCGGTTTAGGAAACAATGGCGGAATTATTGATGCCTACTGCCTAAAATTAATTTGTAAAGTGATTTAAAACAAAACAAAACTTTTACCTTTACTTGCCACCTTCTCAGTCCGAGTATCAAAACTCAAAAGATAGGTTAAACTGTGTGGGTCAGCCATCAGATCTAAAATTTTCCCTTTCCTTTTCTTTTGCTAGGGCTGACGATTTCCAATGTTAGTTTTTTTAAATCCATCGTAATATCTTATCTTATCTTGGTTTGATTTAACTAAGATTTTGCGAGATTTATGCGAGCAGCGAGTAGGGTCGTTACACTGCCATGAACTCAACTTTAATCTTGTCAATCTTATAGGCAATTAAGTTGTCATCTGCATGCTATTATCACTTATTAGATGTGCAATATGATTTTAGCCTTACTTTGCCAGGCTCATCATTAACCAAGTTAAAAAAGGCTCTCATTACTTTCCTTCTGTAAATTGTTTATTCGACGGAATTCTTTGATTTTCAACGGGGGAACTCAAATTGAAAAATGTAACTTATTTGAAAACAACTTATTGTATCATATATATCATTTTAATGCAATCAGAAAATACGCCAACTACAGATGAAAAATCGTGGCTGTTTGTCAGGCCATTCCCACAGAGTCAATTTAAGAATGTATCGCCTGAAATTGGCTTTCAATTACAGAGGCAAATTAAATTTATGCAATAAAGAGGAAGTTTCAATTGTGAACTTTGCGTATCTTTACAACGGATGCCGACGACACTCTCGATTTCTTGTTCTCGGCCAATGACAAGGTCAGAAGAAAGGGTAACGACCAGTTACTCTTTTGATTACTTACAATTACGGTTTGATGGCGGGGTTTTGAATTTGACTGAATGGGTATTCAAAATTCAGCAGGAATGTTTACATGTAATCGATGCTGCGAGATTATTAAGCGCGCAAATTGATCCAATTTCAGTCGCGAAAATGTGTCAGCAAAAACAAAAGTCAAAAGTGTGTTGTTTTTATTTATCTAAACTGGGTATCAAGTAATAAATAAACAAAAAATATTATCTTTAAATTATTATTTATTTATTAAACAATAAGATATACAAATTATTGCTGAAGGTCTAACTGAGTGATGTAATGGGTTTTCATCATAATTTCCAATGAAATATTTTTAAGAATTATATTTTAAAGCTATGGCTGTCCGTTTAAGTCCATTTACTTTTACTAAACAAAATTAATGTATAAATGCATAAATAAATTGTATAAATAATTTTAACACACTTGGAACCGGTTATTGTAATACTGGGAGAATATTTTTATTTTATTCCATATTGAAAATTATTAATACAATTTATAGAATAAAAATGAATATGCCTAAGCTAGATTCACTTAAATACCAATTAGCTGTTTTTCAAGAGCATGATAGCTCCCAATCTGATGGATTAGATAAGGCCGAACCCACTTTGCTTATCGCTCTGCGAACGTTTCTGCCCCCAAATAATGTAGGTCAGCTGGAATTTCAAGCATCAAGTGCTGCACGACAAATTTGACTTTTGGGAGCATTTGGGCGGTACTGGTTAATGGAGATCTTAATTGGCCGACCTCTGCGGCTTCAAGTTCAGTGCGATCCAGCTGTCAATATCAGTGATATAGAGTAGTGAGTGGTTCGTTAAACGGTTCCCACCGACGAGAGGGCGGTACTTGCCATTCTGCCATTCGACACTCTGTTTTAAATTGAATTTAGTGGCGATGTCGCTATAAAGCGTGTTACGCCAGCAGTCGATGTGTCCAATTCCCGTTAGGCAACCGATGTGTCTAGTGATCGTCTGCCGACTGGAATCGAGCGATCACTGAATTCCGATCGGGTTCCGAATCAAACTGCCAGTCAGTCAGTCCGCCAGTACGTTTGGAGTCGTCGAGTGCGCGTGCCAACTGGAGCTGATTCGCCAATAGCCCCGCAATCCCATCTCCCAACCCATCTCCGGACCCCAGAAGATCGCCTTTTCAAGATCACGGTGGAGATCCCCACATCCCGGTCGTGCGTCGCTCCTTACTCGTGTTCCATCGCCCTAACTTAACTCTCTCACTATCTCTCTTGCGGGGCTCGTGTGGGTCGTAAACATAACTCAAAAAGCGCTGGTGAAGTCAGTAGCCGGCTATACGCGACTCGGTTCGGAAGTCTCCGCTCCTAACAAATGCCAAAGTCCCCACACTTCGATAAAGGGTGTGCAAAAAAATTAAAATAAAACAAGTTAAATAAATAAGAAATAACACAAAAAAAGAAAATCATATGAAATGCAACTTTTCGACGACTTTTGTAAAAGCTTCAACAAGGAATTGCAACGGGCAAATTTCGGCTTCGCATACAATCGCGTTCACTTATTCTACAGATCTCAGGTGAGGACAGTTCCACGTAATTATTGTCCAAATACAGCAGACTTTATCGGTGCTGTAACAGCTCAGGTGGTATCATACGAGTAGTGCAAATAGCAGTAGCGAAAATAAGTGAACACATTGTAGTGACTATCATTAGTGTGCCTAGGAAGTTATAACTCTGCGTGTGAGATCATGGGGCACGTGTTTCTTAAAGCTAAGGGGTTATTAGTGCTCAACTGTTGAACTCAAGGCATTTAACATAATATTTAGTTTCTAGAAGCATGGAAATAATTTCCTAAAGTTATTGTTTTGCACAGACAACGACGCCTTGGCTATCAACAATCTAACTAGATAAGTGCAATAAAAAAATAATTTGATAAGAGAAACACCTGTAAAAGTGTATTAAAAATTCCTCTAACAACAATATAACACAACGTTGAACTGAGTTCCCCAGGGCGTTCAACCGTCCATTAGGAATATAATGAAAAAGGGAAAAGTGACTTACTTATATACCCAAAAGTTCGTTAGAATGTGCTCAACAAAAAAGCGAAGTTCACATGAAACATTAAATGTTATGGTGAGAGCGCAGTAAACATGCAAGCGTTGTTAATTAATTCGAATTTAATTAGCACAGCTAGACTAAAAGCTTGGCTGTATTCAAAGTTGTACTCTTCTAACAAAACATCACACGTAGACCATGAAGGATAGATATATTCAGAACTGTAACCCACATAGATATGAAACTATGTACTATACTAACTGTTTATGAATGAATGATATATGCATACATAGTTAATAAAAATAATTATCATATGTATTCCCAAGTCTTAGACATATTCCAATACAAATAACAAGTTGTTTGTCAGCTTTATAAATACCAACTTTGATAAGAAAGGCTTAGTTAACCCTCTTTTTTACGTTTCATTCTGAGTAAAAAAAAAGATTAGAAAATAAAGAGTCAACATATCAACATTATGAGTCATTTAAAAATCACCCCAAAACGATTCGCCCCTTAAAAGTAATTCCCATGGCAGAGCAAAGTTCTGGGAAGTAATGCGAATTCTATCACATAAGCTATTACACATTTCCCGCTTATCCAATCAAATCAGGAACCAGATTACAGTTTTGGCTCATGCCATAAATTGTCTGGGGAGGCCTTATCAGACGGCAAACGTGCCCATAAATGTCCATGGAGGACCGCATAATCTACGGAATCCACTGATTTTATTTCCGCAATAATTAAGTTCAAAACAAATAAATTGAAATACTATTGTACACACGAAAATAAAGATTTTGATACGAAGGTGGAATTACTTAGACAGGCCCTAATTCTGACTACGTCATTGGAAGTGATAAGCATTAAATCGTGATAAGTGCTGTCATTAGCATATAGAATTTGTTTTCGTTAATTTTGACGTGAAAAGGTGTGGAAATTTTAATTAAAATATTACATAAACTTTAATAGATCATCAAGTAAGGGTCAGACAAGTGACTGCGATAAGGAAATATGTAATTTTCCTGTTGAGCGCAATAAAAGCAACTAAGTTTGCTAATAGGTATATGTTAAGTGAAACAAAATCTGTTAATTGATATTTTGTCAATTGCTTTCTTTAAGTTTATTGTTTTATTTAATTTATTTAATTAACCGATCTTTACTTTCATCTTGCAGTGGCAAAAAGATGAGATCAACACAATATACTTACTGTACCGGTGGTTATGGGCCCTGTTTTTCCTGGGCGTGTACATCATGTGCATAACAGTTCAGTTTAGCGATGGAAAGTTCTTTATCTACATGACCAACTGGGGATTCGGGCTGTGCACGATCACCCTGCTGATTTCCGCCGTACAGGTCACCTGCTGGCACTATGATCTGAGAAATACCCGGAGTCTGGTGCAGGAATCCGCCCACAAGATCGATACCTCGAGGGCCCTGAAAATATACTGGTGGCTGTATAATATGACCCTTTCACTGGCACTGATCATATCAACAGTCTACTGGGTGTTCCTCCATGGAAAAATGAGTGAGTATAAGTTCCTGTCGTAGAAATGCATAATATTTAAATCAGTTTTTCGTGGAACTACTAAAAGGGCTTTCATTTATTATACCCGTATGTAACAGCTAGAAAGAAGCGTTTCCGACCCTATAAAGTATATATATTCTTGATCAGGGTCACTAGCCGAGTCGATATAGCCATGTCCGTCTGTCCGTCTGTCTGTCCGTCTGTCTGTCCGTATGAACGCTGAGATCTCGGAAACTATAAAAGCTAGAAGATTGGCATTTTGCATGTAGATTTTAGGAGTTCCTACGCAGCGCAAGTTTGTTTCAAAAAGGTGCCACGCCCCCTTTAACGCCCACAATCGCTTATATACGATTTTAAAAATTTAAATATTTCGGAAAAGTAAAAATGCAGTTTTATTGTGTTTATCAATACCTATCGAAATGTAGAATTTTTCAAATCGGACCATTCGTTAAAAAGTTATGCGGGATCAAAGTTTCTATCTCCATCTCCCTCGCATTCCCTTCACCTGAGTAACGGGTATCTGATAGTCGGGGCACCCGACTGTAGCGTTCTCTCTTGTTTTTTACTGCTAATATTTATTTGTAATATCAGTAAGTACTGAATTTATAAATTATATTTTAGCAGAATTAAACTCATAAAGAAACCATAATTTACATGAGTTCGCCTAAGTTGTTTTTAAGCTCGTAAAAATAAATCGAATGAGTTCTCTATAATACGAAAGTTTTCGTTTTTATATGTTTGATAATAATTTAATATTTTGTTTACAGATAAGCCCATGCGATACCCTGGAATCAGCATAATTACCCACGGACTGAATTCTGTGATGATGATGATCGATTTCTTTGTTGTGGCATTTCCGATTAGGATCTTACATGTAGTTTATGGGATGAGTCTGGCGATCTTTTTCTTCATATTCACTTACGTTTACCACTTATGCGGGGGAACAGATGAGTGAGTGCAAAATATTACCCGCATTCGTTACAATTATATACTGATCACGTGCATAATTCTCCTGCAGGTTTGGCAATCCCTATGTGTATCCCATTCTGGATTGGAGCAATCCCGACCGCTGTTTGGTGACCTTTGTGGGCATCTTTCTGCTCATTCTCTGTTACTGGATGCTGCTCTTCGGACTCTACAAGCTAAAGAGGATGTTCAACAAAGCCTTCAGTGTGGTCTGGACTCCTCATGCAGTGGGCCTGATATGAGGGACTTACAATACGATAATGACACCACAGACATACATGTAATATCACCTCATTAGCACCCGCACATAAACCACGTTATATTAGCATCGCCAGCATTATGTAATGTAAGTCCATTTAGAAACCATCCTAAATCACAAAACGACTAAATGGGAGTGGCATCGCTACACACACATTCGCATGCATTTATTTATATCTAGTATTTGATATTGTAAGTTTTAATCCTCTGGTTCCTTAACATTGAATTGGTTTAGCTAGGTATAAAAAGAATTAATTTTGTTACTACATATATGGATTTAATATAAATATGAAACTTGTTGAAAATACTCTACTTGATAGTATCGTATTTAACAAATACTTCAAGAGAATTATGGAATTGTATAAACATATAACGAAAATAGAAATAAAATAAAATGTATATATGAACTTAAAGTGATTTTATAAATATAGTACAAAGACGGAAACTTTAAATCTTTTTGGCGAAACATAACAAATTGTATGCTACCCTTATTTTTTTTTATCTGAAGTATAGCAAAATTTTTAAAATTGAAACAATATTTTTGTGTTTCTTTATTTTCATTTTTAATTTGTCACAAATTGGACCTGTTAAAAAACCCGTAAAGGTTATTAATGTCTTTACTGTGAAATGGCACAGGTTCGATGACAAAAAAAATTGGGTAATCAGAATACTTACTTTTTCGCTTATTTTCCTAACCCAATTCCAAGACTTTTGTTCTTCTTAAATGAAACGGTGAGTCAGCATTTTCCATGCATCGTTGAAATTAGATTACAAATCCAGTTTTTACACAGAAAAAACTGTGTTAAGTTCTTTCTTTTTATTACGAAATTTGCCCCTATCATTAAGACATTAACAAGCGCGAAGTTCTTTTCTCTTTTTTAACAAACTGTACCGGCAGGTAAAAACTTCTACTTTTGTTTGGCTACAAACATTTGCCAAATAAAAGCACACACAAACGCACAAAATAAGGTTAGCGAGTAATTAAGCTCAAAGTGGATAAAAGAGGAGGGCAGAAAACAGAGCCAAAAGCATCCATCGGTTCTTATGTGTGCTTTATCGTTTTGTCAATAACCAAATACTGAAAAAAATAAAGTCAAATCCAGACAACTTAGTGGTATCGAAAATTTATAAAAATATTTTTAATCCACTTTTTACGGTAGAAAATACATATGTATTTAACCAAAATGTAAAATAAAAGTATTATGTACATACTTATTAAACTATGAATTAAAATGTTTGAATTTCAATTAAACAATGTGTGTTTCTTTTTATAAATTTTTATTGAACTGCTAACTTACTTTACCTTAATAGTATAATGGTTAACAATTTTTTCAAAATTGAACTGTATTTGGTATGATTTATTTATTTTAATACCCTAAAGAACAAAATCTGCAAAAACATAAGTTATTTAAGTTATTTGCCTTTATAAAAAAAATAAAACAAATGAAACTAAAATTGTATTAAGCCTAAAAGTATTTTGTATGTACAAAATTTTCAAAGAATCTAATCTTTTCTAATCTATTCTGTAAGCAAGAATTTGTTATGACGTAATACGCATATGTTAATACATTGTACATATTTCTACATAAGTACAATTTTAAGAAACAGGCCTATTATTTTTTTGTATCAGTTCCCGATAATATGTCTACATTATTTTCGAGTACTGATAACGAAAAATTAAAACTTGTGTATTGCGTCAGAGCACATTCGTGCTTACAAGAATAAAATAGAATAATAGTTTTTTACTTTTTTTTGTATAGTAAATATTTTAATAGAAAAAAGATAAAATCACTAAAAGATTTTTAAAGTACCATAAACAAAAAAAATTTTAAAACTATAGTTATAACTACAAAATTATTAAAAAGTTCCGCCTGGAACTGACTATAAAATATTTTCCCAGTGTAGTCTCTCTCTCACTTCTCAGCCATAAAAGACACGAGCAAACACACCTGGCTACGTTGACGTCGGCGTCGCAGCAGCCGCGTCTGCGCTTACGATATTACGATATTGCGTTATTACGATAAAACGCTGCGACTCCACCAAACCAAAAGGCAAGCCGCGATCAGTTTTAATTCTTTCTTCACTGCGAGAAGTCGTGATTTGTACTCCGTTCTCTGGCAACTTTTAATCGTTTGGTGCGTTTACTCAGTAGTATTATTTTATTGGTTTGGTGTTGCTCACTGGCTGTTCTGGTGCATCGGTGCGTGAATATGAAGTGATCGGTTGGTGTAATACTCAAACAGACTACAAATGGAAGGCCCATCAAACAAACAAACCCGAAATGGCTAGATACCGTTATGCAAAGTTGTTGTTGCTGTGGTGACCCAAATAGAAATTACCAACCTGGCTAAAAAATAAAAGACAATTCAGACACCCAGACCGCGTTTATAATCCGCAATGTACATAGCGCAAAAAAATCATTGAAATAAACGGTATTGCCATAGTTGAAGAAAAATGTCAAAGTGTAGTTTATTAAACAAGATAGAAAATATTCGTGAGTTGAGGAATAGTTGTTAATTAAGTGTTTCTTTTGAAAACAATGTGCTTTGTGTGTTTAGCAAATACACATAAAAGGCTAGGCAAATCTTTATTTTAGAAATACCTAAGCCAAACAATTTTTTTTACTTTTTAATTCGAAAACAAAACATTCAGAAACAAAAAAAATATATAACAAGATTTTGCAAATTTTTGCAAAACCTTATTTTATTCAAATTTTGTACTTCTTAATACGTTTAGGTACGGAAATGTTTCTTTTTCCGTTTCCAAAAGGTTTTATTTGGAAGTAAAATATAATCATTAGGGGTTACTTTTGTTTCAAGGCCTTCTGAATATTTTAACGAATGAGGTTTTTCATGCAGATTTTCGTTCTTAGATGTGCATACATATATATCGGTAGAGTTTCTACTTTCGTGGCATTAGCTTTGCATACATATTGGCTCATTGGATTTTACGTTACTATTGAAATTTTAGGCACGTTCCCAAAAAACGTTAATGAAAAAGCGAGCTAAATGAACGATTATAAATTTCCTGTTCACTAAATAACAACAATTTCAAGGAGCAGCAAATCAAATTTGGACTAAGACGTTATTCAAAGCCAACTGTGCTTGCAATTACTTAAAGGTGAGTCTAGCTTTAAAAACTCTGCAAATGCGGTTTCAATACACATCGAATCTTTAATGTTAGCTAATTGACCGGCATTCATAAGCAAAACTAGTTTGTTCGCATTTTTTATGCGGTTTACTTTGGGTGGGTTGCGATTAGTAGAAAATATGGGCCATTCAAGATTTGTTTATATTTATATTCTCACAAACATTATACAATTATTAACACCTTATTAATTTGTTCGCTTCCGCTTGCTCGTATAAGAGAACTCATTTTAACACCTTTGATACAATAACTGACCTCGTTCAATGCGATAATGGCAATTATTTGTAAACCGGCTTTATTGTATAACAGAAAGTAGTCAATATCGATCACAAGTCTCTTGATATAATTAAAAGAATGGAGAAAAATTTAATACAAATTAAAAATAAATATATTTATTAAAATATAATATTAAAACCCACTACAAAAACAAAAGCGGATCCTAATGCGTCAGTTATTAAGATCTTGATTAGAAACCGACCATTTCTTCATTTTTTCTGATTTCTTCATTTTTTTTATCTGTTCCTGATTTGGTAATTCAATTCAGCAAAAAGGTAAACCAATTATATTGTTAGCACTCTACGTATAATCAATAATAATTTGCAAACTAATTATTTAGAGGGCCCAAGTCACCAATCAAGATTTATGAATTGCCTAATTATAGTTTAAGAGTAGTCTATAAAAAACTTAAGAATTTTTATGACGAATTTCGATTGGTTTTTGGACATCCACTTGAAAAGCATATGAAAGTTTTTTGGGCATGCTCGTGACATTAACATAAGAAATGCTTTAAAAAGCGTTGAACTCTTTTGATTTCACTTTCTATTGGAGTGATTGAAAAGATTGTGACTATTGGCCAGCTGACGTGTCTTATCTAATCGACAAGTGGATCTTGATGAGGGCGTAAATATCGATGGAATCTGAAGTCTTCGACTTGCCATTCACTCAAGCGGCTTGACTTCATTCAAGTCGAAAAATTATTTACGCAGCCTGTAAAGGTCAACGAGTTTTATTTTAAGGTTCAATGTGGTACAACATCAAGAGCCATAAACCTATATATCATTTGTATACAGTGCGTTTCATAGTTAAAGGGCATTTAAACTAAATGAATCGCTTAAATGTACGCACACAATAAATCGAGTTAAAGGTGGAAACATTAAAGAATTTCAATGATCATGATTCTTTGCATTATTTTTGCTAAAAATGTGTATGTGGAAGATAGTCGTTAGCAATGTTTTATTAAAAGGTGGTACCAAAATCGTTCGTTTGCCATACCGTTTCGACACGCACAGTAAACACATGTATTTTGAAGGTAGTTTTTGGTCTCTTTTGTTGACGAAAATGTGGCACAAGGGACAAAAGCGTGTAAATAAAATGCACACTAAACAAGACTTCAAACTGTCTTGGCCACCAATTCGGATGGTTTAGAGTCTGTTAACTGTATTAGCCGCCCTCCTTCCCCATTTTTTTCTTGTTTATAAGTTTCATTAGCGCGCCATTCGTGCAAGTTCAGGGACAATGAACATTGCACTCAAAAAATGTGTTTATATCAGTGTAATACTCTGGAGAAGTAATTATAATTTAGTCGAGTATGGCGCGATGTTTGTTCAAGCCAACGCAGTTGCCGTGAAAATTATGACTGAATCCATTTCTAGGGTCTAGAGTTTCAGACGGAAAAGCTGTTCGCGATTTAGGTCTAGTAAACAACGCACTTACCGCTTAATGATTGCTCAAGTAGACGGTCTTTTATTATTTAGCCTTAGTGTTTGACCACTGCAGACTAATTGCTTCATTATATATTTTTTATAACCAGGGGATAAAAATAAAATTTGTTGAGAACGTAATATCTTATCAAGAATGTAGAGGGCACCAAGGTAATCAGAAGAAAAACAAAGATGTTTTATCTAGTCAAAGCACACTATTGCAGATTGTTGTAAATTATCTTCAGAGCCTAGTACTTTATAATTACTCAGCGCTTCAGGCGTCCGACCTCAAGGTTTTTTTTATTCTGTTTCAAAGTTCGACCTTACTGAGCTAATTAATATATTTATTGCATAACTTTTTATTTATTTTTTTGCAATAAACGGTCGACCAATGACAGGCAAAACACAATAACTTGGCGAGGGTCTCTTATTCTGTTACCCCGGTGAAGCGAATAATTATTCACTGACTATATAATATTAGAGCGCTCGACGAAGCGAATGAACTGTCTGGTAAATTGATCCATAAACGATGCTCCCCCACAGTGCCACTTCATATAATTATACGAATAGTCGGTCACACAATGGTCGCATTATTAGCACTATTAAGTAGTCTACTAGGCCCAAGCCTTCGCAACTCGTATTTCGCATTTTGCACATTAGTGGCTAACCTTTTTGGGCCAGACTAAAGGGCTGTAATTGTTAGGTACCAAAAACCAGGAAAATGTAATGCTGTGAAGAAATACAGAAACCTTGGATACACACAATAAAATATTCCAGTCCTCTTGTGAAATTAAATTTTAATTAATGAATACTGTTCACTTGCCCCAAAACCAAAATTTGTAAAAAAAGAAGGAAAATGTGGTCAGTGACCGTCGAAACCGAAATGCGGATTAAAATTTCTCTAGGGTTCCATACCACCAGATTCAGCATCAATCTTGTGATCGTTGTAGAGGGGTTGCAGTAGTTCACGGGCAGCCTCGTGGTCGGCCTTTCCCAGAGCCTGGGACCTTCCATAGAGCTTGATGTACTTCTTTTCCCTGTCGTGGACCAAGTAGCCACCACCCAGACCCTGGGTGCACAAGCCCATCGCCTCTGCCTCCTTTTTCAACTCATCGTACACATCAACTGAGGGAATGGGAAACAGGGCATAAGAAACCCACAAGATCGCAAGACTTATTCCAACTTACGATGGTACTTAGCCTTAGAATGACTGCGAATCACCTGCTTGGCACTGCCCATTTCCCCATGAATATACACGTGGGCCATCATGTACTTGGACTTTCCACTTTCCACTTTGGCAACGGGAAAAGCAACTAGACTCCTCATCGGCTTCTCGCAATAGAGTCGAGATACTAGCCCGCAGAATGTTCCATTTCAAATAAGTTACTCTACTCTTTGTTCTCCGTTCACTCACCTTGCATCATTGGCCGCCAGACGGGCTTCAGAAATTTTCCAGCAAACTCCATCAAAAAAGAACAACTATTTTTCCTTTTTACAAATAATAGATGTTGAAATAAGATCTATTTGTAAACTTGTTGTTGACGATACTGAGAATAAACTGTGACTAACGAAATGTCTAGAGCAAGGCAAAAGAGTTTTATATAAAGGTTTACTGAGGTTTGGAAACTGTGTTCTGGGGAAATTATTGCATTCGTCATATAAATGGGCCTTGAAATATATAAAAATAATTTATTTGTAAACCATCTAGAATTCAATAAAATTGACTCATTAAATATATGTAAATATGGTAGTACGATGAAAATTGTTAAAAATATGTCGATACAGGATGGCCGGAATTGGTCGATATATAAGTAAAGCGGTTCTTAAAACAATTGTAATTCGATTATTAGTATAAATAAATGAAAAAATTAAGTTATCAAGTTCAAAAGTCAATTTATTTAAAAAAAAAAATGTTTTGTGTTAGCATTTTTTAAGTGCTACATTTATTTAAGTTAAATTGATTTATTTTATACAAACTATAAAAAAAACCTAAAATATAAACCAAAAGCAATGAAAAAAGTTTTAAGCTTCCAAGTCAAAAAGTTCTTTCAACTAACGAATTTAAAGAATTTTTTTTTACATTTTTTCTAAAACATGGTTAACGTTAGCATTTGTAAAGTTGTATTATTTTATTTATTTTTTGTATATATTTAAAATTATAATTTTACGCCGTTTCAGCGATTGGTGATAAGCAATAAACAACTGCGCGGAGAATGACATCGCTAAATACGATTTGAATTGCATAACGCCATTGGGAAATACACTGTTCGTGAATCGAGTGCTTACGTAAAACCTCCAATCAAACAAATTAGGGTTCTGATCGACACAGAATCTAACGAGATGAGCAAACTCCAGGTGATAGTGCATCCCGTGAAGAAGGAGTTCCAGCGAAAGAGCTGCGGATTCGACCATGATACGCCCGATGATTTTGTCAAGTCGCAGGTAAGAACTATTTCACAGGATGGGTCAATTTAAATAGTTCAACGAAACATTGACGACAGTACAAACAAATAGCTGCGTCCTTGAGCTCACGACGAAAACGCCTCCACTCGACACGCACCTAAGCAGGTGTGTTTCTATTTGATTTGCACTTGGGCGGCGGGTCAATGTACATGGTGGGCATTTTAAAGTGTAGGCTAGTCATTACGTCTGGCCATAGGAGAATTCTAGAGATTAATGTAGGTAAAGGTCTTGGGAATACCCAACAACCTAAAAAATTAAGTACTGACTACTAATTTTTGAGTTTAAAGTACAAAAGAAAATTTAGGGGTGAACCACATTTAAAGTATTATTTATGTTTTAATTTGACTAAATATAAATTGTATTATATTTATTTATTTAAAGATTTTGGTCCTTATAATTCACATACAAAAACAGAAAGTTCGTAAATAACCAAATCTTATCTCCTTGCTGTCGAAATGGACAAAGGACATTGGGCGTTTTACCATTTCGTATTGGACTTACCTTGAGCATATTTAATGGCTTCTTTTATTCACAGTATCAACAGAAGGGGGGTATGTTTGGATACAAATATATATGCACAAACTGATATATATGACAGTACTTTTTGTCTTGTGTACACCGATTGCTCTTGCATTGTAAATTACTGTATTGAAATATTCATAAGCAGCAAACCGTTACAAACTAGACGGCCAGTCAAGTTAACAAAACTTTAAACATGCGACAGGTACAATAAATTTCGATTCTTAGTGCAGGTGCCCTTTAACCTTTCCAAGTTGAAATTGGGAAAAGCGTCAGTTTAGTGAAAATATGATCTAAAATTTATAATGGCAGCTCTTAACAAAATTTTTATAAAAGGCTGATACCGAGTAATTTATTATAACAAATTAAAATGAATATTTAATCAACCATACGTAATACAAAAATGTAAAGCCCAAGAAAACTAATCAAAAATGCAAAATTTTCGATGCATTTTCTTTATTTCCTTTTAATAATTTGTATAATTTATTATTCAAGTTTATCATTAGAGTATCATATTTATTAATCCGTTTTGTTAATCCGTTTCAGTGGCAGTCATGCACAAAGAGCATGGCGTACTTGTTTTATCGCTGGTTCATGGCTCTGTTTTTTGTGGCCGTGGTAATAATTTCGATGTGGCCAGAAGCAGATGATCTGAGCAGTTATTGGCTGTACTTTATCTACATGACCAACTGGGGAATATGGATGTGCATGTTGACGAACGTGTTGGGTGCTGTTCTAGTCACCATTTGGCATTATCACCCAGAATATGCGGGTAAGTTGTATACTAAAATAGGTCCATTACGGAATGCTGAGAGGTATATATATTTCCCAGATAAACTCTTGAACATAAAGAGTTTCTTTAGCTATTTTCGACTGTATTGGGGTATGCATATCATATCCTTGGTCCTGTCCATTGTCATCACCATAATCTACTGGAGTATTCTGTATGATGGTGAGTTATTCTTGAATTCATTATACGTTCTTTGATATTAATGGTTATTTTTCTCTACAGCTAATGAAAGCGCTTTGGACGCCACGAACGTACTCACTCATGCATTTAACTCGATTTGCATGTTCATCGATCTGTGGATTGTAGCACATCCGATGAGGTTGCTGCATATATTTCTGCCAGTATTATTTGGAATTGTGTTCGCCGTTTTTTCGTATATTTATCATTTGTGCGGAGGCATTAACAAGTAAGTTTAAAATGGATTACTGTAAAGATAAATCTTATATTTCGGTTTACGTTTGTTTTAGGAAAGGCAAGCCTTATATCTATTATGTGATTGATTGGAACAAGCCAGAAAACGCCTTTATCACGGTTGTTGGCGTACTTATCCTGTCCTGTTGCGTCTATGTCCTGCTTTTTGCCTTCTTCAAGCTGCGATTATTCCTCCATCGACGCTGTCGTAATGCAAATTTTGTACTGCCGACCAGTGCGAAATCAAATGGTCAAACAAATGGATTGGAAGATAAATCCGGAAATGGAATACAGCACTCGCCTTCGCGCATTTCAATGGTATTGGGCAATTTCGCTGGCTATGAAAACCAGGCCTATACGCCCACTGGTGAACTCCCAAACAAAGGCTAATATATCTAATTACAATTTAGACTGTAGTGCTTAGTAAAATTCATTTCTAGAATTTACAACCAGTGATATTATATATTATAGATTTGTGTTAAGTAAATAAAATTGTTCTGTGGAGGATATTTTGAGAATGGTTCCTTGAAACTAATACTAACGGGCAGAATTGCAACTGTCCTTCTGTTCTTCTCAAGCAAACAACACGCTTAAGAATTCTGATCAAAAATTCAAATAGTTAAATGTTCAAAAAGAAAAACATGAATGTACCCAATAACCTTCGGGTTTTTCAATTCGATTCGATTCCGCCTTTGGGAACTTTACAGTTGATAATTAAGAATTTATAACTGGCCATAGTAGGATGGCTCGCAGTAAACATGCACTTAAAAAAAACTGTAAGCCAAACACCATTTGTATTGCTGCTAAGTCCGAGATGTGTAAATATTTTACTCAAGCCCCTAATCACCTTTGAATGACCACATTAGCCCAAATAGGCCCTGAAGGACATTGAGTTGGAGCCAATAAACTGGCAAGGACATGTTTAATTCTGATAGTGGGACATCTATTTATAAGTACTAGCGAATGTCAGTAGATTTTCAGTGTGATTTAATTGTAAAGACTAGAGCTCATTGCTCGTAAATGAAAATGCAATAAATACATATTATGAAAGGTCATAGCCCCCACGAGTAAATGAATTTAAGAATATTATCGGACAATTTTACACACATTTTAAATAGTAAGGATAAATGTTTGGCTTCTGATAAAAAGGAGATACATCTTTATATCGTATGGTTAGCTGTTATTTTAATTTCCATAGCTCATATTGACAAGAAAAGAATGTTAATTAGTTTTCCCTTGAAAGAAAAAGCTCAGTTAACTAAAAAATCGTTATTAAATGACCAATTGAAAAAGGTTAAATATATGTACCACATTTGTCATTGGTGAAAATCAAAAATTCACATAGCATGTATCATATTCGTCATTGGTGAAAATTAAAAATTCCCATAACATGAGGTCATGTATGGTTTATTTTGTCCCTAGCTTAAGTAACGTACTTAAATAATTCATTTGAATGCATCTTTGATGGCACAGCAAGGTATTTTAATATTTCCCCAGCCTTTGGCCCACTTAACGCCTTGGCCAGTGTCCTTAATCACAGATGTTTGGTTCGAGTTGCTTAACACTAAGTTGGCCGCGCCCGTCCACAATTGTGTACACACATTGGCCAAAACGAGTAGCCTTAATTAAGTTCGAAAAGGGGATTTAATAACCAAAGGACCCGCCCAGAGGGCCCAAGGACGAGCACGAGACACGAGCTGTCCCACTGTTGTGGTCAATGGTGGTCATTGCGAAGGATTTGCTTCACGCATAAGTTGGAAAGGAAGCCCGGTTCCCATTGGATTGTCCACGCGAGGTGTGGGTCTCAATGTCAATGGGTTGGCTCTGTTCTGGGCAATTCGGTTGTTATTGCCGTTCTTATCTGTGTTGTTGCTGGCCTTGTGTCGACGGCACATGACATGTCACAAATTCCAACAAATTAGGCGTCGCATCTGTGGTTGTCCATGGATCGATATGAGACCAATTTGATCGATATGAAGTTTCCTTGAGCTTTGAACTTCTTTACGTGTCCTTGGCAAGCCTATTCGGCCTGTAACCCTCCCCTCCCTCATCCAATGTCAACTTAAAAAACCAGAACGGGTCCGGGACCAATTGAATTTTAATTGAACACATCTTGGAAATTTGGACAGCTGGCCACGCTTCTCGTCTAGTCCTCCCCCAAAAGTACGGTATCATTGAACTGCAACTAGAAGTAAACTAAATAATTAACGCCAATTAATAGTGTGAAATATTAATTGAATGCTCGCCCACTGCACAACAGACAGCCCAGTGTTCTAATTCCCATCCATTGTGCAAAACATCCCCACCCCTTTTTACCATTCTTTTCTACCCCCCTTTTTGGATTTATCAATTTGGGGCCCTTGTTATTGTACGGCGGCATGATTGCGCAATTTCTCTGCCATCAAACCCACGAAAGTGATTCAGAATGAACACATACCTTTTGCCAGACTCATGATAGGTGTTCACTTTGCCAGCGTACCATGGGGTACTTCCTTAGGACCTCTTTTGAGTTCGTTACGAACTTTGTAGGAATATTTTGATTGTGTTAACAAAATAATTATTTTTAAATGATTGAATATTTTTTTTTGGTTTTTTATTTGCTAACATTTTACTATGCAAACATGAGTTCTTTCCTAGTTAAAATTATTAAACGAATTTTTACCAAAACCTGTATAACACATTATAAAAATAGATGGCTTAATCGATTTTTGTATTTTCTGAAAACATCTATTCTGTGGTTATGAAATTGTTTAGTGTCCCAATATAAAGAATAAAACACATCTAAAAGTATATTTAAAAACAAAAATATATCAAGAATGTAACCCTCAAAAATATTTGTTATATTTAAGGACTATCAAGCACTATAAGTAACCCTCAAAAATATTTGTCATATTTGAGTACTATTTTGATTTCAGTTCTACCCATTGTGTAAAGCTTGTCTAGTGTATCATTTTTTATCAATGAAAAGCAACTATTTCCACAATAAAGATAAGTACGTGCGAACGAATCTGTTTCATGCTGGAATGATTTAGGTCATTTGTTAATTTTATTTAAAACCGAATTATTATATTAAATTTAATCTATTTGAACCTTGGTATTAAGAGTAAACATTTTATCTCCAGTAAGATAATTTAGAAAAAAAGAAACGAGGAGTAACAATAATAAATTTCTATAAATAAAAATGTCTAATTTTTTTTTGTAATTTTTTTATACAACTGTTACTATTTTTATGACCCGGACAACATAAAATTTCGCTTCTTGACTTCAACAGCTGCAAGTCAGAGGATTTATTTACACCTATGAAAACAGAAGCCCAACTGACAACAACAAACAACATAGACGGCAGGACACCAGCACGCCAGTAGTAATGGCAACCAAAACCGGGAGAATGTTTCAAAAAGCGTTCCACACATGTGTCAGTTCAGTCGTACACATAAAGGATGTATGAGAAACGCACCGCTGGCTCCAGGACACAGGACACTTTGTTTGGAGCGCATAAACAAATGGCGGCCCATGAATGACACGGACATGTGAGCTGGATATTTCTGTGTGGAGAGAGAGGGGGCGGGGGAGGGGGGCGAAGTGTTCAAAGTGTTCTAAGGTCGTGCGTGAAACTTCCAGTGGGCAAGGAAATCCCCACCACCCACGCTCCACTGGAACTGCAGTGCTGGAACTCATAAAGTATTCATTAATTGGAAAAGTGACCAGGGGATTCGGAACCGGGCTCGTAGAGGTAAAAACCGAGTCAGTTGTCAATTTAGAAACTCAGTTTCGTTTCGGACGTTCGGCGAGGCGTACGTGCTCGGTTTGTTGAACCCTCGGAAATCAGGACTGTGACGCCGCCAAGGCAGGAATCAAAACACCAAAACCGGCAAAGTCATGTAGTTCGTTTTTGTGCGTGTTGCCGACGATAAAACGCGAGAACAAGTATCCCAGAGATACCAGTAATAAATGTAGACATATTTATAATATACACATCGAGCGAATACCATTAACGGTAGCCATGGACAGAAGCAGTTGCCGAGTGCAAAACATTTGCCTTTCTGGAATTTTACCTATTTTCCAACAGAACTCCTTCTGAAGAACTCGATTAACCGGGATAGTTATTTTTCGAATAGAGAGTGAGTGTGCTCGAGTGTGTGGTTGTGCGGGTGTGCGGTAGGGAAAACACAATTGCGAAAATTCAGCTATACTGGCCACCGAATGGATAATGGGTATTTGTTTAGACACAGGTGAGTAATGCCACATGCAGGAGATTTGTAATCAAAGATTAGCATTGCCTCTCCACGGCCAAAGATAATAAAAAGAACCCTAATGAGTCGCCCACGTTGAACACGCCAGGGGGAATACAATACACGAGTTTTCATTAGTCTTTGTAAAAAACATTTGAAAACGACGGAGTTCCAGAGAAGGGTTTAAATATTAAAGAATAACTCATCGTTGAAGTCCACTGAAAATTGTGAGGCATACTTTTGGGATCAAGAATTAATGAGAGACTGTTGCACTCTTTATATTCATAAATCAAATCTTAATAATTTTAATAAGTAAACTCTCTCTTTTAAATATATGTATGCTTACACAATATTATTTTATTTTTTTATATTTTATTTGTTATATTGAAAGGATCAAACTTTCATGGTAAACAAAATTTGAACTAGCAATACTATAAACAAAGAAAAGTCAACCATTAATGTATCTTTCAATGCTAAAGGACCATTACCATTACATTTTTTGGTTTTATAACTTAGCCATTGTAATCCGACCACTTTCCAAATCTCGGTGACATATTCAATTGTCCACAATTCAAAGGACAATTTCAATTGAAATTACTGCAATCAGTGGCTTGGAAATTCATTTAAAAAAACAATTATCTGTGACAGAACGGTTTTGTAATACCAACACGGATATGATTTGTATGTACACAGCGTTATATCAAAATCAAGACCTTGCCCAACGCTATAATTTGTATCGGAACTTGGACCCTTTGGCCTCCATGGCTGCCAGGTCCTTGGACATGTTCGTTGACCACCAAAGCTAATACACAATATCCTGAAATGCGCGTCACTCACAAAAACAAAGAGAGAATTCGAAATAAAATAGGGAAAGCCCCTGGTCGGAAAGGGACAGCAACAATAACAAAACATGTCAATTAAATAAAACTGCAGGAAAATCAATAAAAATGTCACAAGAACGAACTGGTTTTCCGGCTTGAAAAACGTGAAATTGCCGGGAGGCTAATTCCGAGGGGGTGGTGTCCGTATCTAAGCCATAAAATCGCCATAGAATGGCCAAGCCACAGCTGATTTTCCATGAATGAATTCAGCGGTGATGCCATACTATACTAGGTACGGTTGCTATACAATTAAATAATTGTTAAACATGTTTTAATGATGTGTTTCGTGATTTGTTTCGATCCCTTTTTCCCATTCCTTGTCGAGTGCGTGGACTCAAGCCACTAATTTCCCACTCCTGGCAAATTGCTTCCGGCCCCGTTGAAGGCTGGCTAA